AAAGTTGAGTGCTAGATATTTTTATACTTAAATTATTAATTCGGAACGCAGCCACTAAGCGATCGGCTGAGTAAGCACTAGACTTCATCCAACGAATCGGGGATTCCCCAATTCACATTGGGGAATCCCCGATTCGTTGGATGAAGTCTAGTGCATGTCCCGATGCATTACGTAGCGATTTGTGAGTGATCGTGAATTTAGTTTAAAAAGTTTTACTGTACTCTGTGTTTAAAAACTTACGAATTAGTATAAGAGTACTAGATTTTTTATACGACGAGAGTGACAATGTTTTTCTTGTGTAGATAGGTATTACAGAAATTATTACTATTTCTCTCGCCTCGATTTTCACTCACACGGTTGTTTACCATTTCTTTAGGTAACAAAATGTCGGAGGAACCCGTAACAAAACAAGCGTGATGAACTATTAAAGAAGAAACAAAACCTTTTCCAACTCGGATACTCGGTCGCCAATCGCGAGTGTACTGAACAGACTGACCAGGATGAAGAAATAGATACTTTAGGGGGTACAGAGGAAAGTGAGGCCGAGGCCGAGGTCCAATTACTACACTAAAACGTAGTCCACCTAGCAGTAGAACACCAGAATGACATTGGCAATATATTAGCAATGAAGTACAAGATTTTTGGTGTACTAGAGATCCCTACGAATGTACACACGAACACATTGAGTATGATTTTTCTGCTTCAAGCTGACAATATGACGACAGTAAAAGATTTTTTTTCTCAATCTATATTTTTTCGGAAACACATAAGTGGCTGTAAACTTAAACGAGAGTTGCTCATCTATTCTCCTTCTATTGGAAAATATACTGCTTTCCATATGTTCCTTTTGACGAAGATCAAAGCCAATCGCAAATTCAAACTGGATTTTCTTATTGGAAAAATGCGCCGCAAAGAATTCAAGAATGTGTGCAGCCACTGATTAGCAAACGATGTATTCACGGCCGACTTGACGCCTCGTTTTATCAATGTCGGATTGCGTATGGTTTGTCGATACTAAGTGATCAGGATCGAATGTAATGATACTCATACCATAGATAAATATATATGTAGCAAGCTAACTCATACTATCGGATTCTGTGTCTGTTAGAGGGGGTTGTACGTTGGGCCTAACTGTCACGTTATTATCGTTGCTATCGCTGTTGTTGTCATTATTATCCACGGGCTGTTGTATTCCATCTCCGTATATTTCTCTTGTCGTATATTTTCGAAAATTCTATTTATGATGTCGTCGTCAAAATTATCATCTTAATTGACTGCTAGTGAATCGATGCTCTTATGATAAATTTTGAATCTGGAGAGAGCGTCTGCGTTGGTATTTTGCCGTCCTTTTTTATATATGACTGTGTAGTCATATTCAGCGAGTTTAAGTCGCCACCTAGTTAATTTAGAATTAGGGTCTTTTAGTGACATTAGCCATATCAATGGTCTATGGTCAGTATATATAACAAATTTTCGTCCATAAAGATAAGGCCGAAAGTATCGATCGAAACCGTTCAATTGGTCGAAGGTTCTACCAATTGTCGCGAAAGACCGACTGCGCCAGTTACGATATGGCGGCGATCGAAAGACTTTTTAAAAAAAATAAAATTAATTTAATTTCAGAAAAGTTACAAAAATAATAAATTCAATTAAAATGTAAAGTTACAAAGAAGTTAAGTTAAGCGTGGATGGCATCAGACTGTGAGACAGTGCCATTGTCTCCACGGCGATCTTTTTCGCAGCGCAATACATTCCCCATTTGCCCATTGTTCTGTGTAACTGCTATGTCAGCCCGATTCCAGGGTTACGACATGTTAACTAGTTCTTTAAACTTTTTGTCAACTTAACAAGTATTTATATAGCTGTAGACTTGGTAACAAAATCACCTCGAAAAATTGTAACTAAAACAAAAATGTAAATATTCTAGGCATTACAATTTTATTGAATCACTTTACAGTACAAATTCAGGTAGATAGTACTTAATTAAGTTACGCTTAAATAATATTTGGTTTAATGTTCATTTCGCATGAAAACACAATGTATCTCACAAGTAATACATAATATTATATTAAATTAGATTGTTTAGTGCGATTGCCAAGTCAATCTATGTATTTAAAACATAAGTTTTTTTTAATATTGATATGGCCACTATAAGATGTTGTAAGGTTAGCAAATTACGTAATAACTGGAGACAGAAGGACCCTTAAGTAGAGACTGAATAAATTAACCGACTTGGTATTACATGGATCTCACAACTTTTTACGGTAGAAGAACTGAGTTGCGAGACTTGGTTTTAAGTTATATTTTTGATGGCATCTCATTTCTTTTTGTACATAGTCTTACTTTTTTATTTTCCGGTACCTTCTACTTCTTGAATACCAACTACGGATTTTCGGGCAATTTAGTCCACTTAATACTTTGCGAGATTTTGGTACAACTTCATAAGACATGTCCCATTCTTGCTTTTTTATTCCGTTGACTATTTTACAAGTTACCTTTAAACATAATTATATTGAATTGCGAATGAAAGTTACATTCACTGCAAATGTAACTTTCATTCGCTGCAAAAATAACTTTGTAATCCTATATATTTATATAGGATTACAAAGTTATTTATGCAGTTGGTGTATCTAGAAAACTGGACCGAAATTACAAAATATTTTAGTTTTTCCTTAATTAATACACTAAACACTAATTGTATTCTAAATTTGAAGCTTCTATGTCTGCTAGAAGTGCCTTAGAGTTTTGATGATCGGTCAGTCAGTGAGTGACAAAATTAAACAAACTTTGAGTAGTTATAATTCTTAAGCTACTGGTTCAAATTGAATTCAAGCTTCTAGTTTTGTCCACAACGAAGTTATAGGGGGTCGAAAATGGCCTGAACTGCTTCAAGAAAAGGATGGTACGGCCGTGCCGCTTTTTTGCTCGACTTGGCGGGGGCACTACCGTGCCCCCAGATATTTCATATAAGTTTGACAACGTCGTCAAAAAATAGCGTGGTAGGTCAGATGGTTAGTGCTCGCTGTAAGTTTCACAGTACGCGAGCAAACCGGCTTCGATTCCCGCCGACAAAGACTTACTACGTGCTCGACGGTGAAGGAAAACATCCTGCATGTCTGAGAAATAAGAAAAAAAGGTATTTCGTAGACAAGTGAAGTTCGCCAACGCGTGCAGCGCGGCGGACACTTTCTTGTCCTAAAAACCCTCTCAGAAATGAGAGCAGGCCTGTGCCCAGTAGTTGGACGTATATAGACTGTAACTTTAACTTTCGATAACACCGCACTGTCTGTATAAATCGTGTCAGTTCATGACTAGTAGACCGTCAAAAGATTGTGGTAAAGTTTATACAACTTTTATGAAATCGTAAAGAATCCTAAAGAATTTCAGTGTTTAGCAAAAATGTATTTGTAAAAGTGAGAATATGTCGTGTTCAGTCGTGTTTTATACATCAAAAACAACAAATGGCTGAGTAAAAGATCCGGAATTGCGATTTAATACGTAAGTCTTAGACAACAATTTGTTCACCACATATCGTCCCGTGGGTATCGTAAGAGGCCACAGAGGAAATATGAAAAAGGAGATGAGTAGCAGTATCTTTCTGATAACTCGTCAATACAATTCATCCACACAGTCTAAGAGACTCAAATAGTAATGAAAACAAAACCACACTGTATAAAATTCTAAGTCAAATACGGTTTATCAGTCTTCCACTTCCACAGCAAGAGCATTTTTAATCATATTCAAAAGGTGCTTTAAGCCGTGAGGTACACTTTTCTCATTCTGTTGCTAAAAATTGTAAACCTTGCAATAAACATCTCTTTGGCAGAATGTGCGAAACAGAGATAAAAATATATAACCTACTGTCAGGTATAACACCAGACGCTAAAGCTGTCATGTCTGAATAGGAATACTGGAGTCTTTCTGGCACTATTAATGTGCTGAAAATTGTTTTATATTTGACCATTTTTAATGAAAACGAGGCGTTCGATCTTAGTCCTTAAGGGGCACAATGCGTTTCCATTCTGATTCTTAATCGAATACGAGGGTAGAAGTAGATGTTTATGGTATATAGGTAAACTGTATGCTCTGTTCTCACCCTTATTCTATAAAATAAAGATAAGTAGATTAACGAATTTTATCCTAAGCGTGTTCGTGCAGAACAACGGGTTCGATTCCATGCGGAACAAGCATTTCTATGCCCTTCAATAAATGTTCTGGATCTGGATGTTTGTCATTTTGCAATTTCGTCATGGATGTAACTTACTCTGGATGTACGTAATGAATGAATAGGCTTGACTTTTTTTTGCGCCCAGAAGCAATGGAAAAGGCTACCCTCCGGGAAGCGAGAAAGGGAGGTGGTGAATGCTCTAAGCATACCACGACAGCCGGCTGCCGTGGAATCTGCTTCACGAATAAGATGATTGGGTTAAGACTCTGAGGCTTTGAAGAAGTTTTCAGAGTGTTTTTAGAAATTGCTGGACTGTGGGGAGCTCTAAGTCTCGGTGGAGGTCGGCGTTACGGACGTACCAGGGTGCGTTCGTAGCCCGACGACAGAAGTGGTTTTGAACTATTTGGAGTTCATTAATGATTTTGGGATAAGCGTGAGCAAATATGGGGCCCGCGAAAGTCATAGCTGGTCGTATACAGACCTTATAAAGGGTTCGCTTGTTTCGCAGGGACATTTACTGTGTCGGCCCAGCATACTGTTGAGCCTACTCAGATAAAAGCGCGCGTTGCGAGTTACTCTTTTGACATGGGGCCCGAAGGTGAGCCTCGTGTCAAGGATGACACCTAAGTATTTGGCGGTCGTATGCCAGGGGACAGGGGTCCCTAGCATACGGATTGGCGGAATGGTAGTGGGTCGGCGTCATTTATTATCGAAGTGAACGGCGGAGCTTTTCTCCGGGTTCACATCGATACGCCATTTTTGGAACCAATCTCCTAGGTCATTAACTGACTTTTGGATCTTGTTCCGTATGAAAGGTAGTGAAAGAAAGAAAGAAAGAAAGAACTATTTATTTGATATACACATTTTACACACATTAAAAAAATATTGTAAACAAAAGCAAGGGGGAAAAGAATGCATGTACCAGTCTAACACTGTTTACGCATTTACAATTGAGAAGCAGTACATACACAATAATAAAACAAACAAACAAACAAAAAGGTAAAAACGAAGAAAAAAATCAATATGAAAATGTGACATCAAATAGGTCTCCAACTCAGCATAATGCTGCAAATACAGCGCTGGTTTTCAGTTGGAGCCTTGTGACTTCACAGACAAGTCGGTGTGTGATCTTCCAACTAAGAGTTATATACGAGTTCATAGTTATCTATTAACAATTACGAGTTAAAAGGTAGTGCTAACATATTATATAACGTATACACACATGCACTAAGACTAAACCTAGGTAACAGGTGTGTTATATTACTATATATTTAAATAATACCTACTTATATACTTATACATACAATATTAACATGATATTGACTATTCTGACTATTCTATGGGGAAGACAACTTTTACTTTTTTCATAAAAGTAGATAATTTAATATTCTGAGTCAAAGAGACACGCCATGTTAAAAAAAAAAAAGAAAAAAAAGAAATAAGATTGAAACTAATAAATAATCATTCATGAAATACATAACAGAAACACATTAATAATCAATAATATTCGAACATGAAAAGTGTAGAACAAATATAAATATTGCTATCATCGTAGGTTCCTACGTTCGAGACAGTTATTACGTATTTTGTACTTGTTGTACCAAATAATGCAGCTTTAATTTCTTTTTAAAACTACTTAATGTTTTTACTTACTTACTTACTTACTTATCTTCACGCACAATCCCTGACGGGGTAGCCAGAGAGAACAGATCGCCAAGTGTCACGATCCTTACAAACCTCTTTCGCTTCTTTCAGATTCATTATCTTCTTCATGCATGCACGTCTAGGTATCCGAGTACTTTTGACCCTACCCTCTTCGAGCAATTTGCTCACATGGTCTTCGAAAGTTAGTCTCGGTCTACCTCGACACCTTTTAATATTAACTTTCGCGCTATATATTTTCTTCACCATTCGGTCTTCACTCATTCGCTCAACGTGCCCAAACCACCGAAGCACGCCCTTATCAATTTTTGTGATAAGGTCATCTTTCAAACCTGCCATATTGCGAATCTCTTCGTTTCGCTTTCGGTCGGCCATGGTAACGCCGCACATTTTACGAAGAGATCGCATCTCCACTGCATTCAACTTTCTTTTATGCTTCTTCTGGCATACCCAGGTTTCGCTGCCATATAACAAAGTCGGTACCAACACTGCGTTATGTATTGCAAGGCGTGCACTCTTCGCTACGCCTTGCCTTTTGACTAACGCAGTCAGGGCACCATTGACTTTGTTCCCGGCAGCGACACGCCTGTCCACATCTAAATCACATCTTCCATCCCGGCTAAAAGCACTCCCCAAGTATACAATTTCATTTACCTGTTCTAGACATTCCTGATTTACCCATTATTATATTAATGTTTTTAGGGTACGAATAGGTGATGGTAAATCATTCCAACAGTGTGTTGCTGCAAATTTGAAGCTGCCTCGAAATGCAGCAGTACGGTGTCGAGTTCTTATAAGCAAGTGAACGGAAGCTCTTGTATTATATTTATTTTGGTCTTGGGCCCATTTCAACTTTTGAAAAAGATATACCGGTCTCTGCTTTATAATTGTCGAGAACAATAGAGTAGCAAGATGTAATTTTCTCCGGGCGCTCATCTTAAGAAGATTGGCGTCGTTTAAATAAGGCGTTACATGACTTCGAGGCGAGACAGGAAAACTAAAGCGAGTACACGCATTTTGCACCCGCTGTATAAGCTTATCTGTTCTTCTCAACAGTCGTGGTCCATAGGCTGCATCTGCATAGTTTAATTTGGACAGTATTAATGATTCACACAATCGTATCCGCATATCTACACTGAGGTGCTGCCGCACTTGGTACAGTAATTTTAAACGATAAAAACAACTGCGCACTCCCTCAAGTACATGACTTTCAAAGCGCAAACTACAATCAAATATTACACCTAAATTTCGTGCTTCTGAGACTTGCTTGCTTGACTTGCTAGTGAGATACCTTTACAGTAGAGGGCAGTGTCATCTACAAAGAGGAAGAGCTGAATACCTTTCGACGGGATGGGAATGTCGTTGGTGAACAGGATATATAGCAAAGGGGTAAGCACTGAGCCCTGAGGGACACCGGTTTTGATAAGACGCTGAGAGGAGAGCGTGCCTTCCTGTCTAAAATAAAGGGTACGATCCTTCAGGTAGGAGCACTCGAGATGAACAAGACTTCGTGCCAGACTCTATCAAACGCTTTTGCTATGTCGAAAAAGACCGCGATGGTCTTATGACGACGAGGATAAAAACCGCTGAGGATATATTCCACAATACGGTGAACTTGTTGGGAACAAGAATGTTTCGCTTGGAAACCAAATTGGTGGGGGATGACAAGAGGGCTGCCGTTTGTGGGAAACAGATGGAGTCTCATGCGAGTGAGGATGACTTGTTCAAAGAGTTTGCCTATGGCCTTGAGGAGGCTGATGGGACGATGACTGGAGGGGAGTCTGTGAAGCTTTCCTGGCTTGGAGATACCAATGACAGTTGCCTCTTTCCACGTGGTGGGAGAGTAACTAAGGTTAAAACAGGCGTTGAAGATAATAGCTAAAAAGGTTAACACCTGCTCAGGAAAGTGTTTAAGGCCTTGGTGGTTTGGTTGGTTTAAGATGCCATCCGCGCCCGAAGCCTTTTTGGGCTTTAGTCCTTTGATGATGGATGAGATCTCATCATTGGATACAGTGATAGGGTCAGAAGCTAGGGTGGGTGAGTTCAGGCGGCGGTCCTCATCCTCCACTGTCTGGATGTAGGAGGGGTCGGTGGGTTATGGGCTAGGAGAGCATTGAGCGGGGATGCTGTCTGCAAAGCACTACTACTACTACTACTACTACTACTAGCTACTGCCTCCGCCCAACTATGTCAAGTAGACCAGAAGATCACCAGCTGATCGACCCCGACGAAAACCGTATTGGCGGTCACTAATCAGCTGTTGATCCTCAAGGTACAGCATGAGGTGGCAGTTTATAACAGATTCCATTATTTTGGAGAACAAGGGGTGATGCCGATAGGCCTGTAGTTGGATGGGTCTGAGCGTGTCGTGAAGCGACAATTAAAAAAAAATAGAACCTAACCTAAGTACAACAAAACAACAAAAGTAGAGCCAGAAAACAATATATTTAAATTTATAAAAGGTATTTACAATTTTATAAAAAAATGGAATGAGGATGATGATGAATGAGGTGAGAGTACAATTATAAAAAAAAAAAAATAAAGGTGAGAGAATAGGGGAATATAGTGTTGTAGTGGGGCCTAAAAGTCGAAGCGACACACGTTGCGTTTGTAGAAGTAGGTTTCTTAGCAGCGACGGCACGCAGCGCCTGAAGCCAGCACACGCCGTTTGCGCTTGTAGAAGTAGGTTTCTTAGCAGCGACGGCGCGCAGCGCTTGGAGCCAGTACACGCAGCGTCCGGAGCCGGCGCACGTAGCGCCTGGAGAAGGGGCGCGCAACGCTTAGAGCCAGCAGTTGCAGCGCCCAAAGGTAGCGCCGGCGGTAGGTGCACTCGGCGCCTGGAGTAAGTAGTAGTAGTGCCCGGAGTAGTGTGGCCCCCGCGCTTGTAGTAGACTCGAAGCGACTTCCGAGGTAGATGGAGGCTTGTAGGATTCCGGAGTGGCGCGGCCCGAGTTTTAAGAAGGCTTCGCCGAAGACTTCACGTGTAAATGGAGGCTTACAGGATCCCGGGGCAGTGCGGCCCCGGGATAAGGCCTTTAGGAGATACTTCCAATTCGCGAACTGAAGCGAGACTGCCTTTCTTCACCGATTGTTCGGCTTTTATACCTTTCTAGAGAGAACGGAAAAATTATTTAAATTATACGCAAATTTTTTGTAAATGGTCAAGAGAAAGGAGGATTTATGTGTATTTATCGAAATAGGAATAACAGGTCGGTAGCAAATTTGAATATAATTTCCATGGAAACGATATAAATAAGAAAGACAAAATATGTCAAATTTTTGTTTTTGGTTTATAATAAGAAAACGGTAAGATTTAAGTGGAAAATGAGATATTATTGATATAGGAAAAAAGGTAGCGCAGCTGCCCACACAAAGCTCGAGATTGTAGAATTACGGAAAACTAGCTAAAAGATCGAAAAAAGGTAGATTCCATTGACACCAATTTAAAAGTGCTGATAATGTGAAAATACGAAGTAGAAATGATTTGTTATTGTGTTCTTATGGTTTAAAATCGTTACAGGATCCTATGGAAATAAAGGTGATGTAAAATATCCAGTTTTGAGGTGAATGCAGAAAATCGAAACAGAATGGAAAAATGAATTTAAAATAATGTAAAATGATACGTAAGTAGTATAACACTACATTTTCCCCCCGACCCTGGAAAATTTTTGACTCAGCAAAAATTTTGATATATACATTCTAAAATAAACCATAAAAACACAGCTTTGCAGAAACAGACATCACCAGGCAAAATCAGATATACTATCTCTTACATACATCATCTGCCATTCAGGTAAGGGTGGAGTTCACATTCAATGACTACCACTCTAAAAGTGTGTTTTCGAAACGACATTAAGGCTTGTTTAAGGAGTAGACCGCTCCTGCGTGGAAAAAAAAATAAATTAGTCGAAGAAACACCACTCTTAAAAGTGTGTTTTTGAAAGGACATTCAGGCTTATTTAAGGAGTTGTCATCCGCTCCTGCGTGAAGATAAAGATAAAGAAATCAATCTTAAGCAAGCTTTAGTCGCTATGACTTAAGTAAAGATAAAGAACGGCCAGAGCGGTAGGGCTCAAAGCCAGAGATCAGCAACATCACTAGCGAGATGTGTCTGAAATAATAAGAAGTGAAGATTAACCTACCAAACAAACAAACAAATTAAAAGAAATAATAACAAGGTGAAAATGATGGTGATATTTATGCATATATACAAATTAAATGTGATATTTATACATATAAACAAATTAGCAGTTAATAAATGTTTAGATATTTATAAATATATACAAATTAACAGTTGTAAATGCTTAGAAAAGTTATGAATCGTCTCGCTTCAGCTTTGAAAAACAATTTTATATAAAGTGTAAAGTTTAAGAAATAAAGATTTAATTGAAAAGTTATACCTCTTTAAGTTACCTAGAATAAAAATATTAGAGTGATGAATGTAAGTGAAGTGTTGAATGTAGGTATAGTCTAGATAAGTTGAAACACTAGATAAAGTGTTGTTTTAGAATTTGGAAGGTTATCTAGAATAAAAATATTAAAGTGATGGATGTAAGTAAAGTGTTAAATGTAGGTCTAAATATAAGCCAGATACGTTGAAACACTAGATGAAGTGTTGTTTTAGAATTTGGAAGGTTATCTACAATAAAAATATTAAAGTGATGAATGTAAGTGTTGTGAGAAATGTAGGTCTAAATATAATCCAGATAAGTTGAAACACTAGATGAAGTGTTGTTTTAGAATTTGGAAGGTATGAAAAGGATGAATAAATGAATGATGAATAATGAGTTAAGAACGAAAGGGAGAGCAATTAAATCAAAAGGGAATGGACAAGGCGCAGTAAAGGTGAAGAATTAAGAGAGAAAGAGGACTTTTACGTTGGGCGCCAAATGTCGTGAAGCGACAATTAAAAAAAAATAGAACCTAACCTAAGTACAACAAAACAACAAAAGTAGAGCCAGAAAACAATATATTTAAATTTATAAAAGGTATTTACAATTTTATAAAAAAATGGAATGAGGATGATGATGAATGAGGTGAGAGTACAATTATAAAAAAAAAAAATAAAGGTGAGAGAATAGGGGAATATAGTGTTGTAGTGGGGCCTAAAAGTCGAAGAGACACACGTTGCGTTTGTAGAAGTAGGTTTCTTAGCAGCGACGGCACGCAGCGCCTGAAGCCAGCACACGCCGTTTGCGCTTGTAGAAGTAGGTTTCTTAGCAGCGACGGCGCGCAGCGCTTGGAGCCAGTACACGCAGCGTCCGGAGCCGGCGCACGTAGCGCCTGGAGAAGGGGCGCGCAACGCTTAGAGCCAGCAGTTGCAGCGCCCAAAGGTAGCGCCGGCGGTAGGTGCACTCGGCGCCTGGAGTAAGTAGTAGTAGTGCCCGGAGTAGTGTGGCCCCCGCGCTTGTAGTAGACTCGAAGCGACTTCCGAGGTAGATGGAGGCTTGTAGGATTCCGGAGTGGCGCGGCCCGAGTTTTAAGAAGGCTTCGCCGAAGACTTCACGTGTAAATGGAGGCTTACAGGATCCCGGGGCAGTGCGGCCCCGGGATAAGGCCTTTAGGAGATACTTCCAATTCGCGAACTGAAGCGAGACTGCCTTTCTTCACCGATTGTTCGGCTTTTATACCTTTCTAGAGAGAACGGAAAAATTATTTAAATTATACGCAAATTTTTTGTAAATGGTCAAGAGAAAGGAGGATTTATGTGTATTTATCGAAATAGGAATAACAGGTCGGTAGCAAATTTGAATATAATTTCCATGGAAACGATATAAATAAGAAAGACAAAATATGTCAAATTTTTGTTTTTGGTTTATAATAAGAAAACGGTAAGATTTAAGTGGAAAATGAGATATTATTGATATAGGAAAAAAGGTAGCGCAGCTGCCCACACAAAGCTCGAGATTGTAGAATTACGGAAAACTAGCTAAAAGATCGAAAAAAGGTAGACTCCATTGACACCAATTTAAAAGTGCTGATAATGTGAAAATACGAAGTAGAAATGATTTGTTATTGTGTTCTTATGGTTTAAAATCGTTACAGGATCCTATGGAAATAAAGGTGATGTAAAATATCCAGTTTTGAGGTGAATGCAGAAAATCGAAACAGAATGGAAAAATGAATTTAAAATAATGTAAAATGATACGTAAGTAGTATAACACTACAAGCGGTCGCCTTTTTTAGGGATCGGGTGGACAAAAGCTGTCTTCCATGATTTCGGGACTTCGCCTAGGGACTAAGAGTACCGGAAAAGACCCGTTAGAACCGGTGCCAACTCCGGAGCACACGTCCTCAGCACAATTGGGGGGATTCCGTCAGGCCCACTCGACTTGTGGATGTCCAGGGAGAAGAGTGCTTTGCGGACCGATCGCTGTGAGAACCGCACATCTGGCATGGAGCACTCAGATCGCGGGATGGTCGGCGGTGTGTTCACCCCCTATTCAAGAGTCGAGTTAAACGCAAAAGGGGAGCCTAAAAGGTCGGCTTTCTCTTTTTCGGCGTGGGCCAGTGAGTCTATGTGCTCTGACCTTGCCTTGGCAATAACTCTTTTGAAGGACCTGGAGGCGAAGTTATACTTCTTTTTAGTATGCTTGTGTTTACATCGCGAGCCACCGAAGCCCCAGCCTAAGCCTGATAGCACTCCTGCTTACTGCGTAATGCATTCTTACAGGAGCGACCAAACCAAGGCTGAGATCTGCCTCCGATGGGTACCACAGGTGATGGAATAAATAGTTCCATTCCCTGTAGCACCACATCAGTGACAGAGTCAGCAACAGCGCTGGGATCATCCGGCGATAAGCAAACCCGGCCCCATGGCTAGGATGCAAAGAAAGACCGCATTCCGTCCCAATCCGCCGACCTGTAATGCCAAACACGGCGGCAACCAGCAGAACGCAACCGCGAGGGTAGCGTGAGTAGCACCACACTCCGGATCAGACAATGGTCCGAAGAGCCGAAAGGGACATCGGAAGGTGTATGATCCTCCACATCTGGAATCCGCGTAGGCAAAGTAACCAGTTGTGTCAGACTATATGCCAAGGCAAAATCGTAAACAGATCTCCCCGCATGATCGGTTAAACGTGAACCGAGCCATTCGGCGTGGTGGGCGTTAAAATCGCCTAGGATCACGATCTCTGCGGATGGGACCTGTTATAGCAAGGAATCTGTAGCCATTTGGACGTGGTCGATGAGTCGGTCTGTTTCGGAATTACCGCTATGGGACCTATAGAGGCACCCGTAGACACGCGGATGATCGTCGCTATCTACGCGTAGCCAAAGTATGGACAGGTCCGAACCTTCAAGACTGCCGTGGTATCGAGAACAGATGTCCTCTATGACGTATACGCAAACTCCAGCCCGAGGCACAAAGTGTTCCAATTTGTACACCGGGTATGAGAGATAGGAAGTATCAGCCGTCCTCTGCGTCTCGGTCAGAAAGAGCAAGGCCGGCTTCGCCGTCTCGAGATGGTAGTGAACGGCGTTTAGGTTCGAGTGAAGTCCCCTGATGTTGCAGAAATTCACGGATAGCGTGGCAGGGGTCGCCTTGGTCTTGTTGCTCAGTTTGCCCCAGCAGTTATTGTGTTTAGCGGAATTTTGCAACCCCCCCCCCAGAATACGCAGGGCAGCCTGAGCACCCACGCTCAGAAGTGGAGTAGCATGGTCGTGGATGCTCAGCGAGGGATTCTCCAGGGGTGCTGGTACCCTCCTGCGGCAGTTGTCCTTTTAATTCCACTACCATGTTGGTGAGAGGGGGGGGGGGGAATTGGGCCTCCGGTCACCTGCACTTACCAGACGAAACGTAGAAGCAGGGCTTCTACTTCACGCCGGTTTTCTGTGAAGTCGTGGTACTAACCCGGCTCGAGCCGGCCCATACGTGCAACAGCAAAAGCTGCTGCTCTACCACCGTTATAGCGTAAAGTCTAGCACGTCCTGAGCGTGGTCGGTGCTGTCGGGATAGTGAGTGACACCGAGAGAACTGTGGACGGTAATGTCAAGAGACTGCGTGATATCAAGCAGTTTCTTGCCACTCTGGGACGTAGTAAGGCAGGTCCATTCAGTATGCTGTTAAAATCTCCAAACATAATGACTGAATTGCCTAATGCAAGAAAAGCCTCAAAATATGCCCTGAAGAGACTGGGTAAGGCCCTGACTGGATATTTTAGATGACAGAGCCGGGAATAACCTTTCATTGACCGGCGGTGGAGCGTGCTAAAAGCTAGCTAAAACGTGTAGCGATTTTTCGCAGCTCGTTTACGGTCGCTTCTTGACTTCACTTTAGTGAAGAAAGTGTCTTTCGTCATTGTTCGGTCGAAGTCTGTCGACTACGTGGAACCGCTGCTGGACGTATTTTCGGTGGTGGCGGAACTCTTCCGGGAGGACCACTTCATGGACCAGGAGTCTGAGCATGAGCACTCCATGGCGTTGGTTTCGAGGGACGCGGGCGAGTCGTCCTGCGGGGTAGCCCTAGGGGACACCGAGCAGCACGCGTAGGGGGCCGGGGGCGTCCTGCCTGAGGGGCAAGGGAGGCGAGGATTGTGGCGAGAGCCGTCTCATCTAGGTTGAGGCCCAGACCAAGAGATTGGTTTAGAGCGGCTAGGAATGTCCTAAATAGGTTCAGTGTGGACATGTTGGGGGGGGGGGACGTTCTACTCTGGGACTGTAAGGGGGGGATCCCTGTTCTCAAAAGAACAGGGGCTTGTTCTGAAAAGAACAAGGGTGACGTTAAAAGAAACAGTAACTTGTTCTGAAAAGAACAAGGAACGTTCTAAGAAACGAAAACGTAGTACAACAAAAACAGTAACAAAAACAATAACAGAATAATAACAAAAAGAAAGCAGTAACAAAGTACGGTCAAATCTCCCAGCCAGGAGGCAGGGGGGCAAGAACGGTAAGTGAAGGTAAGAAAACTCACCGACAGCGATTGCTCTGCACAGCGTGTGCAGGAGAGCAGAGACGCGAGAGCAAGAGGGCACTCAGCGTACGGGGATGAGAGCGCGGTCAACTTACACGACCGCTCGAGAGCGGCGGCGCAATCGGCAATACTAATTAATAATGACGTACGTCAAGCCTATTTATTGTCGTTTTGCATCGTGCGTCGTGCATGACCTTGGCGGGACGTACGTCAAAATGTGCCGTGGATAAGATGTTTTAGTTGCATGGGTGAAATCGTCCATTTATCTAGAACTCAATTGAAAATTCTACTTATAATGTATTGTATCTATACATACTTTTTTTTGTTATACTTTTAAATAAGATGTTGACACTTGACACGTCAAAATATTTTTATCAATACTCATTTTAAAACATAGAGATATATACCGTCATTGGTGGTTGATGACTTAGATAAAGGACAAAAATGCTTAACTGTGTACTTGGATCTCCTGAAAGCGTTTGACACTGTTTCTGTCCCCCTACTCTTATATAAACTAGGGAAATTCGGAATAAGAGCTACTTGAACTTTTTAGAGACTAACTCTCCAATAGAAATCAACGTGTAAAAGTTGACCAGTTTATTAGTGACGACGCGACTATATCATATGGTGTGCCACAGGGCAGTATATTGAGGTCTTCCTTGTTTCTGCTTTACGTAAACGATTTATGCAACTTAAAAATAGAAAACACACAAATAATTTCGTATGATGATGACACAGCAGTTATCTTTAAAGGTAAATCATGGCAAGAAGTTAAGGAAAGGGCAGAATATGGGATGTCCCAGGTAGCAAAATGGTTAAATCTGAATTTACTTACTCTTAACGCAGCAAAAACTAATTATATCTGTTTCAGTATATCCAATCGCACGCAACCCTCGGAAGATTTCAATATAAGAATTCATACATGTAACAACATAAACAATTGCGCCTTTAATTATAACTGTCCATTTATAAATAAAGTAGCATATACCCAATATTTAAGTGTAATAATAGATCAGAAATTGTCATGGTATTCTCACATAGAACATATATCTAACAGAATTGCTGAATTAAATTGGATATTTCGTACCTTAAGACATGTGGTGAAGAGTGATTGGTAGTCACACGTGTTTCGGCGATTTTCGGATATATTTTTGTGTTGAGCTTCGCTAATATCTTTACCGTCTTCTGTGTTTGTTATTATAAAAATTTGTATTGTGTTGTTCATTACTTATTTATTGGTAAGTAGCGATAGTTAATCAATTTATGTATTCTTAACTAACACGATGGAAGTCGACGGGGTGGATTCGGAACCACCGGATAAAGACAATCCATCTGGTTTCGGTCCCTCTAAACGAAAATGTACGGATATAACATCAAGCATTCATAAAAAAAAGTTGGTCATGATGACACGCCTTCAGCGTCATATCAAAACATTTACACCCACCCTGATTTTCTAGAAAAGAAAAAATACACACAGTGATAAAGGGCCTTCTAAAATTCACCTTAAGCGTATAGATCTTATTAGAATATTATAAAAAAAAAATATTTACCTTGTTGCCATGACTGACTTGACATTGGCAGAATTCTTTTAAGAGAAGCCAAAAAGTAAAGAAGAAGACATGTGGTGCCAAGAAAAGCGTCCACAGAACTTACGCAAAATAAATTATTAAACAATATATACACAGCTTTGGTACAATCGTTTTAGGGTACTGTATAAATCATTTCATAAGATTTTTTTTGTGAAGTTGGGGAAGAGCGGATCCTCCTACTACAGGCGCTCTGTGCTTAAAAGGAGGCTCTAGCCACTTATTTATGTTAAAGTACCTTGTGAAGTAAATAAAGAATTATTAATATTATTACTTATAAGTCAGTGTTGTAAAACGTAACCGTGTAATGATCATATACTCTTTGCCTCAGTGTTTGACAGTTTGACACGTCGATGTTGTATGCTATTCAGTTCTGTCAATCTTCCGTTTATAACAACTTCTGGCAGACCTTGATGATTAATTCGTGTATTTGAATATGACGGAAAGTTTTTTTAAATAAATTCTTAAAATTAAATGCAATAGAAGTTGACTGTTAGTCAGGTGCAAAGAATAATGCGATGCTCCCTCGTCGTCGTAACGTTGGTGTTCCTGAACGGACGCCCCTGTTAGAAGAAAATTTGACTTCATATAACAAACTAGATAAAAAAGGAACCCCCTATTTGCTACAGAAATTTCAAGATCAACAAAACCCTAGTGGATCAGACGTTAGATTTGAAGAAAACGACAGTGTTTTTGATTTCCTTGAAGATTTTGTATTTGATCCAGTTATGGCTGCCCGAGACAGAACTAATGAGTTTGTAGCAACTGTTCGCAGTCTACAAAGCAGAACAAGCATTAGACCAGTTATTAAAGATAAACGTAAAGCAGAAGTGCTTGAAACTTATTCACAGTTTATGAGTATGGCTAAAGTCATCAGTAAAAATATAACAAGCACTTATACCAAATTAGAAAAATTAGCATTGTGTAAGTAAAGCCTTGATATTTTCATAATGTAATCTTTATTATTATTATTGCCTACATCCAGAAATAAATTTGCTTAATTTCAGTGGCTAAAAAGAAGTCGCTGTTTGATGACCGGCCTATAGAGATTCATGAATTAACTTATATTATTAAGGGTGATCTAAACTCTTTAAACCAACAAATTGCAAGATTAGGAGAAATGCCCAAAGGTCGACGCAGTATGCACAGTCATTCTTCGAGTGTGGTTCTTGCATTACAGTCAAGATTAGCATCAATGAGTAATCAATTCAAACAGGTTAATGTTTAAGATATTACTAGTTATTTAATAGTAGTTTATATGTATTGTTTATCAACATCATCACCAGCCTTTGGCAGTCCACTGCTGGACATAGGCCCCTCCCAAGGTGTTACACTTAGTCCAATCTTCGGCTATACACATCCAGTTCCTGCTAGCCACCATGTGCAGATTGCTATTCTGCCTGTCAAGGGTGGCCACTATGCCATGGACGCTAAAGCATTCAATTGGAGTGACCTATGCATTTACTTCTAATAAGCTGTAATGAATGACTTAAGATTAAAGTTTATAAGAATATTTGACAAGAGTTATTTTTACTCCTTATGAGTTTTCCATTCTGCTTAACTTTTCCATTTGCTTAAATTAGTCATTTTTATGATTTTTTCAAGAACCATTAATATCATTCCACTGAATGAAAACAATTGCCAGGAAGCTGAACTTGGCCAACAATTATTATAACATATATAAAAAAAAATAGGATATTTTCTATCTGTAAGATTCTCTTCTTTGATGATTCTGTTGGTGACTCTCATGTAACAACACATTCAAAGATACGATTGCCAACATTTGTGTTTCCCAATTAAATAAAGGAGAAGGAGACGTCTCCATACATTCTTGGGCCCAAGTGTTAACAAGATGAAAGTAGGACCATTTGAAAGCATATATATAAACAATTCATCTGAAAATCTGGTAAGATTTGTCAATCTAGGAGCTTAGTTATTGTAGAATAAGTAAGGGAAGATTATCTATTACCTACACTATAACAGGTGATTTTTCACTGTTATTACACTGTAACTGGCTATTTTTCACTATAGTTACTTAAAGATATAAAAGCAAGATCAGTATAAAATCACCAAAAAAGCTGTGGTTAATAATGAAACGAAATGATGAAACAATTACCGAAAATTAAAGCAACAACAACTAAGTGTTGTGAATATTAGGGATATTGATCTGAGATCGATTACTTGAATTGTTGTTGTAACTGTTACTTGTTGAAATGTTGACATTTTGTATTTTTTATTATTATTTTCTAGATATGTATGCAATTATTTTTTATCTCCTCACAGACAAATAATCGAAAATAGATATTAAAATGCCCAATTTAATCGAGAATCGATTATATTGTGCTTGTTTCAAATCGAATTGAAAATCTGTCTTATTCTTTTAAGTAAATAGTTAAAAGTTTGAACTGTCACATCAAGTTTCAAAATAAGAAGTCCTCTATTGGAAGATAACATTCAGAAATGAGGATTTCACTAGTGTATTCTTTACGGTAATCGATTTATTGCCATAAAGAATACACTACAATCGATTTTCTAACTTATTTCTTATTTTATTGTTTTTTCAAATTCTAGATTGTAAAAAGAGCTACTTTTTTGTATTTTACTTTATAAAAATATGGCCAATTTTTTAAAGTATAAACCAATTAGTTAACTTCAGGCCCAAAAATCCCCTTCTCCTTTGACAATATTTAAGCAAGTTGTTATTAAAAACAGAAATATATTGTTGAATATGATTCAATCTTGTAAAGTTGTTTAGAAGTTAAAGGAACAGAGGATTTGTTCTAAGATTCCTAAATTCCATTTCCTTCAAACAATTAATATAAGTATTTTCTGTGGTTTTCTTCTTTTTTCTTATCTTCTTTTTATTTTAATAATTACAGGTACTTGAAGTGAGATCTGAAAATCTTAGACATCAAAATAATCGAAGGGAACAATTTTCAAGTGTAGCACCTGTTGTTAAAGAGGTCCCATCATTACTACAACCAGATGAAGTTAGTATAGATTTGGGTGAAGCCTCCAGTTTGCAAACTCAGCAGTTTGCATTGCGAGATGATACAGACTCTTATGTGCAGCAAAGAGCAGAGACTATGCACAATATAGAAAGTACTATTGTTGAATTGGGAGGTATCTTCCAGCAATTGGCTCATATGGTGAAAGAGCAAGATGAAGCAATAGGAAGAATTGATGCAAACATTCAAGAAGCTGAAATGAATGTTGAAGCAGGGCACAGAGAAATATTAAAATATTTTCAAAATGTCACTGGTAATAGAGCACTTATGTTTAAAGTATTTGGGGTATTGATTTTCTTCTTTATATTCTTTGTTGTATTCATGGCTTGAACTGTTGGTAGTCAAAAGGAATTAAAATGCTATTTTAAATATTTAATTTAAAAATTTTATTTCAAATATTTGAAACACTTATACCAAAATTCTCAAACCCTACTCTTTTTTAAGATGTCATGCTGTCTGTATCACTTTAAGTCGAAGTGACTGTGACACCACGAGACTTAATGACATCTTAAAATTGAGTGGCATTTGGGTATTTGTCGATTAAACTGGATCAATAAAAATTGAAGTATGATTGGCAAACAATTGTAGAATTAAATTGTCCTTTTTATGCCTGGTTACCATAATCAAGGAACATTGTGGTTATGTATAGCCTGTAGAATTATATACAAAAACATGTTGAACCCGTTACACAAGCAAGCTATTTGTTGGATGTCTAACAAAGACATAAAACATGGGTGATAGAGCTTTACAGAATGACTTTTAAGAAAATGTGTGAAAGTATTATTTTAATGTATATACTAAGTCTATGCTTTTAAAGCGTTTTATAAATTTTTGATTTTAATATAAGTGTTTATTACATATAATTATACTGCTGATATGTATTGACTGGATTTCACAACTTCTTCAACCATAGAATAATCATAAATTAAATATAAATTTTATGCACTCGCATTACATAGGTATATACTACATGCATATTAACATTAAAAAATAAAGTAATAATAACATGTATTTATGTTATTATTACCACAGTTTATTCATAATTTTTGTTTAATTCAATAGTTAACTATTAACTATAAGAAAGAAAACAAAAAATAAGTGTATGGTCTAGGATCTGAAATAACTTTGAACATTTTCATTGATTTCTCGGGTCTGCTTACCAAATGGAATGAATTTTTATCAAACATTGTGCTACAAAAAGTAATTGTTCTAAACATATTGTGTTTATAATGAAGTTTTTTTCATAAATAACTTTATAACAGTTATTAAAGTAAGTGTATTATAAATTGTGTTTATAATTATCATCATAAATAAATTCTTGGTAGTAGCCATGAACATATTATGTATTTTTTTTTAAAGAATAGGGGTGACAAACAAGCTCACAGTCCACCAGATGGTAAGTAGATGCTGTTGCCTATTGACATCTACACCTAATCCTTAATTAAGAATGCAGATGCATTATCACCCCTAAGGACTAAGATAAAATGCTTTGTTTCAAGTGAAATACAAATACACCCTGTATTTGTTTACATGTTTGATAAAAATACTTTTTACCCAGTAAGCAGGATAAGTTAACTGTTCAGCTCTTGTACTATTGTATGAGTGGATGACGTTAAAAAGTTGTGCAACATTGCAATATCATCTATTATTTTCGTACAGCAGAACAAATAGCACTTTTACCTACCAATATTTAATGTTTGAATATGGCAACCAGGCATTAAAATAATCATACAATGTTTTCATTGTTGTACTAATGTTGCAAGCCCTCTTTATTGTTTTGTTAATGCAGAGAAATTATTCATTACGGAGTCTTGGTGTGATTTGGGGATAAATTGTTGATACTAAGAACGGGATTTAGCTAAAGTACTTGCTTTCATTTTTATGAATGATTCAGATCTGAAGAAGAAAGCCTGTATGTACTCAAAACAAATTTTCTAAAAGTTCGTTGGTCTTGCATCTGTCATAATTTGGTTTGAGGTTGTATCGTCATATCTGCTCTTGTTACAATGCGAATCTTACTTTACATGTTATCACCCTATTTAAAAATGTTCTACTTTTTCGATATAGTTTGACATGCTCAAGTTTAAATCAATACTCATATGCACAATACATTTATTTAACACTAGCTGTTCCCTGCGACTTGCCCGCGTGTAATTTATTACGATTGGATTTTAATTTTTTTACGCAGAACCCTAATTCTTTTTCTAAAATAAAAGTGGCCTAAGTAACTCCTTATAACATCAGCTATCTGCCAGTGAAAATCCCGTCCAAATCGGTCCAGCCATTTCGGAGATTAGTCGGAACAAACAGACAGACAAAATTTTAAAAAATTGTGTTTTTGTTATAAGTACCGTTTATACTTTAGTATGCGTTTAATAAAAATCTGTTATTTTGACATTACAAATAGACACTTCAATTTTATTTATTTGTATAGACTAACATTTTACCCCGCGGTTACTCGCGTTCGTTGTCGCGTCTAGACAGTCATGACCCACGCTTATTATGAGATATAATAATACCTATACATAGAAACTCTCATATTTCGGAACGATTAATGATCGCAGATTTGATCGTCTCTAAAACTAGTAGTCAAAATATACTTCAACGGTTCTTCTTTTTTGTTGTGTGTAATATCCTCTTGTATTTCTCGACCTTGACATTGGCAGAGAATCTTCGGTTAAACGATAGAGCCATTTTTCTTTTAAAATAAGAAGGTCCCAGATTTTTTGTTAGACTTACGCCTTTCGAATGGCGAAAACCAGCTAATAACCGTATAAATTAATTTATCTTGCCCTAAGTTTGTCCCTGGAGTTCATTCTATTCTTGAAATCCACATTTTGTGTCACAGTCATTATCGACATAGAAGTAGTAAAATGTCTGACTAAACGAAAGGTCTATTTGAGATTTAATCAAAATATCAAATCGCAAATAAATGAGGCAAACCAACAAAGCAAAGGATTAAAGTTGAGAAAAAAAATTACGAACACATTTACATACACTGAATTCCATTTTGAAATTCCAAGTGGAAGAAAATAAATGTGACAAATGATATTTTAAAAAGTAAATTACAGCATTCAATCTAGAAGGCCTCGAAAACGGGACGTTCAACATTTAACACAAATTGTATAATTATTGTAAAATACAAATAACTGCAATAAAAATAATGTAATCCTTAAAGGTGGGTTTGTGTATAACGCTTATTGTCCTTTGAGTAAACTCTCGGACATAAGAGTAAACTATGTAAATTTTATGATTCTACATAAGATAATATTGTAGGTGATATGTATGTAAAATAATAATTATTATTTTTCTTGATTGTATATATTTAGTGTATATAAAACTTTTTCAATTTAATCTGTTTTTATTTCATTCCTAATGCATTTAAAAATGGTTTGGTTTCTGGTTCTTTTCTCGATCAAAGACTAAGCATAGCCATTCAGCGGGGAAACGCAGCCAGCGTTCTTGGCACGGTACCGCGGGGAATAGGACTGTATGATAGTTAAATTACTAGTTTTCGTTTTTTTATTATAGTTTTTAATATTGTATTTAATTTAAAAATTAAATTGATATTATTATCAGCCAGTTTCCTTACAATGTGAAAGGCAACTGTTCTACAGCTGTCATTGCCAGTGCAAAGTCAGAGCACATCGGCAGAATTGGCCAGAAACTAGTTCGCTTTCCTTCGGGAACACTGGTCTCTGGCAAAGGCTGTCCAAGGGAACTTTTGTCAGCCATCTCTGCACATGGTGGACGACTCACTGGCCCATGACGCAATGGAGAAAGCCGATCTATTAGGCTTTCTTTTTGCTTCCAACTCGACTAGATGACGAGGGGAACACACCGCCAACCATCCCGCGGTGTGTGCCCCATGCAGGAAGTGATGTTTACACAGAGCTCGGTGCGTAAAGCACTCCTCTCCCTGGACGTCAACCAGTGGAGTGAGCCTGATGGAGTCTCACCTACTGTGCTGAAGACGTGTGCTCCGGAGTTGGCACCGGTTTTAACGCGTCTTTTCCTACTGCTGCTACTCCCTAGACGTAGTCCCGAACTCATGGAAGACAGCTTTGGTGCACCCGATCCCTAAAAAAGGCGACTGCTCACATCCGTCCAACTACAGGCCTATCGCTATCACCTTCTTATTCTCCAAAGTAATGGAAACCATTATTAACTGCCTGCTCATGACCGCATGTCCTCATGGTACCGACCTTGAGGATCACCAGCTGATTAGTGACCGCCAGTTCGGTTTCCGTCGAGGTCGCTCAGCTGGTGATCTTCTAGGTTACCTAACTCATAGATAGGTGCAGGCAGTGGAGTCAAAGGGGGAGGCGTTGGTCGTTAGTTTGGACATAGCGTAGGCCTTCGATCCGGTTTAGCACAAAGCGTTTCTTTCGAAGCTGCCTTCCTATGGGCTCCCCGAGAAATTGTGCAATTGGATCACCAGCTTTCTTGCAGATCGGAGCACGTAGACGGTGGATGCTCCGATGCCAAGCCTATTGACGCTGGTGTTTCACAAGGCTGTGTGCTATCACCAATGCTGTTTCTTCTGCGTATCACATGTAACATTCATTGCTATGCAGACGACAGCACTGGTGATGCTTTATACAGCGGCCGTGCCAATATTTCTCGGGAAAACGTCGCCGAGTACCGAAACAAACTTGTGTCTGAAGTCAAGAATTTGTTGAACAAAGTCTCAGACTGGGGGCCACTAAATCTAGTCCAGTTCAATCTCCAGACGATACAAGTTTGCGCGTTTACTGCTAAAAAGAACCCCTTTATCGTATCTCCTCAGTTTCAAGGCACTCCCCTTGTTGCCTCAGCCAGTATAGGAATCCTCGGTGTCGACATATCGAGTGACGTGCAGTTTCGTGTTCACTTGCAAGAGAATGCCTCTAAAAAGCTTAGCGTGCTCAGCAGAGCGGGACAGTATTTCATGCCGGCACACCGCTTGCAACTTTACAAGGTTCTGCCTCACATGGAATACTGTTCCCATCTCTGGACAGGGGCTCTCCAGCTCCTTCCACTTGACCGCATCCAGCGCAGAGTTGTTCGGAAAGAGCCGAGCGGAAAGAACTCTGTCGACGACCGAGTTCTTTCCGATCGGCTTGACTCACTGGCACTGTGTAGAGATGTTGCAGCTCTGCGTAGTTTATGACATCTATCACGGGGAGTGGCTCTGAGGAATTGTTCGGATTAATTCCAGCCGCTCAATTTCACCATCGCACATCGCGACAAAACTCGCGATACCATCCATACCATTTGGATGACTGGCGGTCCACCGCCGTGCGATTTAGAAGAAGTTTTCTTCCTCGCACAACTTCCTTGTGGAATCGATTACCATCAGCGATTTTTCCGGACTGATACGACTTAGGGACCTTCAAGTAAAGAGCCTACTCCTTTTTAAAAGGCAATTCTGAAATTCCCCTGGTGTTGTAGTTGTACATGGGCGGTAGTAGTCACTTACCATCAGGTGAGCCGCATGCCCGTTTGCCCCCTTTCCTATATAAAAAAAACATGTGCCTTTCAGATTATAAGGAATTTTTGTCATTGTCCATATGGAACTAAACGTTGATTTGCCTATAGCCTTAAGCTCGCTTTTTACTATGGAATATAATATATGTTATATCCCGTGATTGGCTTTCGTAATGTGAAGGTAGCAGACGTTGGCTGAACGCGCTCGCCGAATGCGTTCGGCCAACGTGTACTGGGCCGTTTTGTGTGTATTTGGCGTTTGCGGCCAACACTCGCCGACAAACCGTATAGTGTCGGTTTTCCGTGCACAAATCAAAGAAATTTGACGCAAGCCGCAAACAGCGATCACACGTTGGCCGAGTCTTCATTCATAGTTACGTGTCGGAGTACTGCAGTGTCGGCTTAATAAAATTGTTTCACGGACATGGCGACATGGACTAATGAGGAAATATTAAGGTTCATTGATTCTTATCACAACGAATCAGTTATATGGAACCCCAAACATGAGCAACGTATAAATAAAACCTAAAGATAAAACGTTAAGTAATAAATGTTTAGTTGCGATTTCGGAGTACCTACCTAATGATAAATATAATTATCTCTAAGTTTATGTTGCTCAGGGATAATGTAGCTTAGGAGCTTCTTTTAGGCTATCTTTAATTTTGAAAAAACTGTACAAGTATATTGCAGCGGCCGCGATCGCCCTAACGTCCATCATCATCTAGCTACCAACGCTAAATGCAATTCAAAGTACTCTGTGGCTAAATGAATGAAATACGTCGACGTGTGAACGGCACCACGAAAATTTTCCAACGTGTACTGGAGCCTTGAGATATACCTATCTTTTAACTAATGAACCAGTGTGCCACAGAGTACTTTTATATATACTGAAAGTCGTTCGTCGTTGAATCACATCGCACGCGTCGTTTACAATAAAAATGGATATTGTTTTGCTAGATAGCCTAAAGATATAGATGCAGAATTTGGTTTACATGTGTTACTATTAAGTAAGTGCCTTAATGATCGCTGTGTTTACGGTGGTATTTTGGTTCTTGAGGCTATAACGTTTGTTTTAGTTTTACTGAAAAGTCATTTTAATAATATAATATCATGAGCAATCAGGATTAGTCGATTCGTTTAATTTAACTGTACGGTACGTACAAGTTGCTGTGGGATTCAAAAGACTGTTTTCGTTTTTTTAAACAATAGGAAAGGACATTTTAGACAATTTTAAACAATAGGAAATTTTTTTAAACTAGGAAAGTAGCTGCAGCTGCAATTACACAACTGTCCATTTCGGATGCTCGCGGACTTATGATTATGATGGCTTGGGCTGCCTCGTGAGGCATGCCTCTGAGTTGCGGACAATACTATTGTGGGCTGCCTCGCGAGTCGCACACCGAGGCTGCCGCGCGATCTTGTGCGCTAGGTGGGTACCCAGCTAATTATGTTCTGTGGCGTAGTGCGTATACTCATTTGTAATTTGTATTCGTAACTTTTCTTCACGCACAAGTTCATTCAGGTAATGACAGATAGCAGATACGAAATTGAGGTTGAGGATGTAGCGACGGCGCAGAACGGTGTAATGGGTACAGGTATAGGGGGCGAAATATAGTATAAAAATATCACTCGGTTGATCGAAAAAATATTTGTAATATATATTATATATCTCAATGTAAACGGTTCCACTAAAAAGTACGGTAAGCGATATTCATTTATATCTCGAGATTTTTTTTTTATAAGATAGGGTGACAAACGAGCACACAGTCCACCTGATGGTAAGTGGTTGCTGCGGCCCATAGACATCTACATTTATCCTCGTTTGCAAATCAAAATGCAGAGCTGGCATACAATAACATTTAAAGAGCATTATTTTAGCTACTAAGGGAACTTCGTTTCATTCCGTAACCAGATGAGGTGAAATGGTTCTTCCGATTTGACCCCTAAAACTGGTTGGAGCTTCCCGAAATGCCTATGCATACCCGCATACCAGGAATAACAACGGCTTATGTCCGGCTGAAATGCATGGTGTTCCACCTTCGCAGCATATTGACATAGCCACTTGAACGCTTTCGTAAGCATAAGCGACCCTAACGACACAGGCTGCCCCATGTCAGCCCCTCCTCAGGTGAGGACACTTCTCCTCACCCTTTTCCTTGTCAGGTGGAAGTAGGCGCACTAGAAACACGAGGCGCGCCTACCTCTGCGGCCTCTAACTCCACTTGCGCAATGGACGCGACTGAGACCGACACGCGCAGGCCATTGGGCCAGGAAAAAGCAAGCACTCGGAAGCACCAGCTTTCCTGAACCCAGCGGCGGATCTGGTCGATGGCTCCACCACCTGTCAAGTTTCGGTCGCGGAGGGTAGGGAGAGCGGCACCTCGCAATACCGACACTTCTCACTCCCCGCAGCTCCGCCACCACCGCAACAACGGTGCGGGCCCGCCTGAGTCGCGGAGGATAGGGCGAGTGACGCATCGCCATACCAACACTCGTCTTCCCTCGCGACGGATCTACCTCGGCTTTGACGGGAAGAGGGAGAGGACACCCCTCCCGCCACAGTCCACCAACGCGCATCCGGAGTGGGCTAGGCAAGCCCATTCGGAGCGGCCACCTTGGGCCGGCCCTACAACTCGGGCCAGCCAGGTGGGTTCCTCCTTGTTCACCGTGGATGCTCAAGCCACAGCTACTAAGCGCAAGAAGGCATTAGCAGCTGGCCGTAATGTGGCATGCCGCACTTCGATATTTATATAAAACCGCATAACATCGACGCACTGACTTGCGGCCAGCCGTCAACGCTCCGGTTGTCTTGGGGCTGCGGATGGCAGTTGAATGATTCGGCGCGCGGCATCCCCTCCACGCACTCGGCGCGGTTAGCCGCAAACCGATTCATGTCATGGATTTTGATAAAGAAAAGTTCATTTTAGAAATCAAAGAACGGGAATAATCAGTCGTTTGCTATATTAAATAGCAAATACCCTGATTATTAAACACAATAACTTCAGCAACTTCCCCGATGTCCATTCCATAATGTCTAAAATTTCTAGGAGCACTGATGATTGCGGCGTACCGCAATAGAACCGAGACAATACGGTTAGCCGGAATACGGCAGGCAGCAGTATATACGGTCTGCCGCAACGACATACCGCATCACGGCTCGCCGCTAGTGCGTTCTAGCTCTAAGAAAGCCACGGCTACAGCCTATAAAAAGTCTCCTCGTGAACACACAGGCCTCCCCAAGATTACCTAGTAATGGCAAAATTTCCATCTAACTTTAAGAATGAGTTGTGTGTCATTGCAGAAGACGTAGGAGAACACCCAAAGTGGATAAGAGCCAGAACCTTACTCGTAACCAATAAAACTGCGAAAGCAATAATTTTGAATATGTATATATGCATATTCAAAATTCGCTTAAAAGGAATAGCATTATTAATGAATGTCAAGAGGTGAAGTATTTAAGACGAATTACTAGTACACCCAGTACGACTACCAATACGGAAAACCTTATATCAAAGCTGCTGGAATCTTCAAGTGAAGAAGACAACTTCAAGAAAGAAACTACTCTGTTACAGGTCAGGAGTTGCTAGCTGTTGTAAAGACCTTGTTGCACTTTCATAAATAGCTCATTGGAAGAGAATTTGTATTGAGGACAGACCATGCTGCATTTAGATGGCTGCTTCAAAATTTAAAAGTCCCAAAGGGAAAGCGGCACGATAGATTAATATTAGAGAACTGATAAATTTTGTTAAACCAGAATATAATTACTAATATACATACTATTGTCGAACAAGATAAAATGTCAAAATAATAATTTTTTCTACTTTAAATTTGTAATTTCAAATTAACCCTACAACGCATAGTGTGACACATATGGGTCATATAAAAAACCTCGATTTTTTAAGTAAATAGTCTATGATGATTTTTTTACCATTTTTTCCAAATAAGGAGTAATTTATATTACCACAAATTCTTTTCATTTATTCATTACTGAAAAAAAATCATGCAATTCTACAGGTTAATTATGCAATGAATGAAAAGTAAGTACAAACTATAAGTGTTAATAGGTAATGTGATAAGACCTGTTATATAAATTAGTTCTTAGTCTTTTTTGGAGTTGTTGTCCCAAATGGAGCAGGCCAGAGCTGGGCCATTATCATCTTCATCATTACATTAAATCATAAATCCACTGCTGAACATTGGTCTCCCCAGGAACTGCAATAAAGCATGGTACTGAGCTACCTGCATCTCTTACCATCACTCCATCTGTTGGTGGGACCATACACTTCACCTACGAGGCTGCCATTTAAGAGCCTTTCATTCCCATTGGTTGTAGGTTCTTTGAGCTACATAGTTAGCCCATTGCCAGTTAAGCTCACCGTTCCATTGGCTGTTATTAACTCTGATTCAACTGATTACACGGTTTAAGAAAAGGTTGTGTGGCATGTAGACACTATGGTGATTTTTTAAATTTAAATGTATTCTGCAGTCTAAAAAATTATAACATAATTTTTCAACTCGGCGCAGTACAGAAAAAAGAATTTGACAGTTGAAATTAAACTTTAATTAGAGAAATAAATGAGATTAGAAAGTTGAACATTTTTGGCTCTATTTATAATATCATCCATATTTACAATTAATATCTATGTAAGTTGCAAGGACATCACATTATTGTATAAAATGAAACATTTGTAACTTATTTATAAGAATTCATCACACCAGTCTTTCAAACACTGATAACAATCAGCAGACTGTTTTGAGTTGGCACTACATGTCTCTTTCATCCATTCTTGAAACAGTTCTTTGTCTTTCTTAAGCACTAAAAATTGACCCAGCACAACATATGCCTGAAACAACAATATAAAACAGTCATATTTTGGAGACATAAGATAACATAAAAAATAATAACCAAAGTTTAGTGTTTCTATACAAAAATGAGAAATCTAGTAATAATGTGTTTTTTTTTTTTAAATAAAATGATCATTTAAGAACAGTTAGTATAGACCCTTAATGGCTAGTTACATTTTCTTTATGCAAAGAATAAGTTAAACTATAGTACAAAGTATTTATTTGCATGTTCAAGACATTACTTGGAACATTTGCCCAAATTCACCATGCTAGGCAGATGGTGTGATAAATCCAGGTCCTACAGCAACAGACATTAATTGCTTATTCAGGGTGCACTGTGTTCAGTCCCAGTTACCCTTTTGTTATCCAAATAATAGAATTAAAATAGCCAAAACGTGTCAACTTCTTCATGATTTATTGGTTAATTATTCAAGTGTTATAATGCAACAAATAATTGCAAAACTCAAACGAAGGTTCCTCCAAGCAATCTACTACTTAGACTTAATATGTACCTAACAATTAGTTTTAAATATAGATATAAACTTTTAATTTAAGTTTTAAAGAAGTATTAACCGTTAATCTTTAATAAAAAGATATTATTAATTATATTAAATAGTTGAACATTAATAAAATAATATTTGCTAAGCTAACCTTATCAAAACCAGCGGTTTCAAGTCTCTTTCCTAAAACTTCACCTACGCCGGCTAAATCAGTAACAGGTTTTTCTCCCATCGGTTCAGCAACAAAATTTCTATGCTTTTGTGATGTACTCGACATATTGTAAGTATAAATTAAATTGTAAAAAAACTTTAAAAACTATGTACTCAACTAAAAAACTTAGTTTCAAATTAGTGGGAAAGGACCTCTTTGGAAAGGACAATAAAAAATAAATATTGTTATTACTTTATTACTACAAACCAATTTTTTTTAACTGGCTTTACGGCACTGGGTTCTAGCCCTTCTGAGCCTGAAGTTACAATGTATAATTATCCTTCATAGTACCACAGAATACATGTACTCTAGTACACTGCTTCACAATAAGTTGATGCGTCACATTGTGCAGCTCTTGGGAGATTTTGACGGCAACTTTAGCCAGCAGACAGCTGACAGTTGGCGATTGTATCTCAAGGCGCCTAAGCAGACAGACACCTTATCTTGAGGATCCCATCACCATCAGAGCACTTGTTTCACCGTTTCCACTAATGGTTCACATGCGCACATTTAATAAACAAAATTGCACCACTTTTACATATAAAAATCCATTTGAAACCATTATTTAAACAATAATACACGAGCCGAAATAATAGTGGAGCAGTGGCTTTACAAGGGGTAAATGCGCTGGGGAACGCGGGTTTGAATCCCGAAAGGAACAAGTATTTGTATGGCCTACAAGTAATTGTACCGGATTTGGATGTTTATCCTAGTGCAATTTATGTTTGTCAACTGCCTCCACGATACAGCTTCGACGTGTCAGTTTGTGACGTCACATCGCGATGCGGAGCAAAGCTCTCGTCCTTACCGTAAAACACAAATTTACTCATCAATATTTCAGTCATTTATAAAGGTAGTAAAAAATAAGAATACCGTAGAATTCGTAATTTTTTATAAAATTTTTTGATACCCTTAACAAAATCGGGTGGCCAGACCCATTATATGTATTAAGAACAAACTCATAATAGTAAAATTATCGATATCAGCTGCCCATATTGCTGAGTTACAGCCCTATAAAAGGCGGCCATCTTATGCGCCGGATTTGTGTAGGTCACGCTAATTCTGTAGGTATGCCCAGTCCATATACTTCTAAGTCAGTGCTTTGTAGTAGGAGATTTGGCGGGAACTTGACTGTCGGCGGTTTGCCCCCACCCCAGCCTGTGAATTTGGAGTATATACATATATATATATATATATATATATATATATATATATATATATACATATCCACACACACAAACACACACACACACACACACATATATATATATATATATATATATATATATCAGAGGAGTACAATTTGCCACTATGTCTGGCGTATGTGGACTATGAGAAAGCCTTTGATTCCGTCGAAATTTGGGCGGTGCTGCAGTCCCTTCAGCGGTACCAAGTTGACTGTCGGTTTATCGAAATGCTGAAGTGCTTGTACAGTAGGGCTACGATGCCTATCCGAGTACAGAACCAAAGTATGAAACCTATCCAATTGCAGAGAGGTGTAAGACAGGGTGACGTCATATCCCCGAAACTCTTCACCGCTTCATTGGAAGACGTTTTCAAGCTTCTGGACTGGAAAGGATACGGTATCAACATCAATGGCGAGTACATCACTCACCTTCGATTTGCCGACGATATAGTCCTTATGGCAGAATCGCTGGAGGACCTAAGCACTATGCTCAATGACCTCAATAGTGCTTCCCAATGGATAGGTCTTAAGATGAACATGGACAAAACAAAGATCATGTTTAATGTCCATGTCACACCTATACCGGTAGTTGTTGGGAGCACTAAGCTCGAAGTTGTTGACGAGTATGTTTACCTGGGACAAATAGTCCGACTAGGTAAGTCCAACTTCGACCGAGAGGTCAATCGACGGATTCAAATCGGTTGGACAGCGTTCGGGAAATTACGGCACATCTTCTCGTCAGGTATACCTCAAAACTTGAAAACGAGACTGTACAACCAGTGCGTGTTGCCAGTGATGACATATGGAACTGAGACGTGGTCCTTCACTGCTGGCCGGATGAGGAAGCTCAAGGTCGCTCAGCGAGCTATGGAGAGGGCTATGCTTGGAGTTTCTCTGCGTGATAAACTCAGAAATGAGTTTGGTCAGCCATGGGTCAATGGGTCATCCATATAGCTCGAAGAACCGACAACCGTTGGGAAAAAAGGTTCTCGAGTGGCAGCCTCGTACCGGCAGGCGAAGTGTTGGGCGTCCCTCCACTAGATGAAGTGACGACCTGATGAGATGTGCAGGAAGTCGATGGATGCAGGTGGCTCAGGACCGTGCTTTGTGGCATTCCTTGGGGTAGGCCTATGTTCAGCAGTGGACTTGTGAAGGTCTGTAATGATGATATAGCGGTCTTTAACGGCTTTTCAAAAAATCTCACTAACAATTTAATGAAAAAGAAACAAAAGCATGTTATTCGCAACTCGCTGTACGCGGTTCAACCTCAAAGTGTTCGTCGGTATGTGAACAGTTTGACCTACTTAGGCCCCATATCCGAAAAATTAGCTAATACTCTTCGACAAAACGGCGGCTTTTTAAGCTTTTAGTATTTTATATATATATATATATATATATATATATATATATATATATATATATATATATATTTATAGGATAAGGGTGAAAACGAGCACACAGTCCACGTGATGGTAAGTGGTTACTGCGGCCCATAGACATCTACATCTATCCTCTGTTACAGATCAAAATGCAGATGCGTTTTTACCCGTGAGGACTAGGATTGAATCCGTCATTTCCAGTAAAAGGTGCCTCCGGCCACCTGCACTCATCAAGCGAAACGCAGAGGTAAACCTCTACTTCACGCTGGTATTCTGTGAGGTCGTGTTACCGCCCCGGTTCGAGCCGGCTCATCCATGCGACAGCAAAAGCTGCCGCCTGGCTCTACTACGTTATTATATAAATATATATATATAAAATACTAAAAGCTTAAAAAGCCGCCGTTTTGTCGAAGAGTATTCGTATTCGTATTCGACCATTCGCTGGAGTTGGAACAGACTTTGCTGGCCCCTTCCTCGTCAAGTCCTCTAACCTTCGTAACGCACGATCACATAAGGCCTATCTTTGCGTCTTCGTGTGCCTCTCCACTAAGGCCGTTCACTTCGAACTTGTAAGTGCCCTCAGCACGGAAGCCTTCTTGGCCACGCTGGACCGTTTCGCATCGCGGCGCGGTTTGGCGGACCTGATCCGGTCTGATTGCGGAACGAATTATAAGGGCACGGATAGATATTTGAAAGAGGTCGTCGAATTTCTGTCCAGCAACAGGACTTATTTAGGGGCGGTATTTTTGAGGCGGTGGTTAAGGTTGCAAAAACGCATCTCCGTCACGTTATTGGCGAAACTAAATTGACATTTGAGGAGCTCGCCACTATTCACAGTATTCTGTAAAATTGAGGCGGTACTCAACTCTCAGCCCCTCTGTCCCCTCTCGTCCGATCCGAATGATTTGGAGGTTCTAACCCCGGGACACTTCCTGATTGGCCAGCCGCTTAACGCCCTGCCCGAGTACCCCTTCAAGGAAACGAACTCTTCGCGGTTGAGCAGGTTTGACCTGCTGCAACAGATGACTCAGAGTTTTTGGCACCGATGGTCTCTGGAGTACCTACATCTTTTGCAGCAGCGCATTAAGTGGTCTGACAAGACGGATCCTCCTCGGGTTGGACACCTCGTGTTGGTTAAAGAACCCAACGCTCTGCCTTTGTATTGGCGCCGTGGGCGCATTGTTAAGTTGTCGTATGGATCGGATGGGGTGCCTAGGGTGGCCGAGGTTTTGGTCGGAGATTCGGTCTTGCAACGTGCCGTCGCGACCTTGTCCCGTTTGCCAATCTACTCGCGGACATAATTCCTTATGTCCGGGACAGGGGTTTGTTTAGGCAAAATATTAACCATTTGAAATTGAATTATTAACGCACGCTCGAATACCCTAACATCGTATCGAGGTCACACCGCCCCCCGCCCGGCACATTCCATTCGAGCGGTGTCGACGGGACACGTCGAGGCAATTCATTGTAAAAATCTGTCGATCGTAGCGGACGTTTGTTTTTCTGCTTAATTTGCCGCGTCGCGAACGGAGGTGAACTTTGTACCACTGTCGTCGGCCGCGCCACGTGTTGGTTCTTGACTGTGATCAACGGATTTAGTTCTTTTTTTGTGAAGTAGTTGAATGTACAATAACGTGAATAGACTGACCTAGTGCCTTGGAGAAGGAAATTGCCACCGGGGACGCCGCAGGAGAATACCGCCTCCGGGGCAGCATCGTGCCATCTGGTTCAGGCCACCTAAACACAGACACTCACAAACACCACTTACATGCACTACAACTTCAGCCTGACAGATCCTGGTGACCAGTCTCCGCTCCCGAAGCAGGTAAGTACCTTATTAGTTAAATACTCTCTATTCGACTAGCCTTCCCTTTAAAGCTTAGTAGGATAGAACATTCCACCAGGCCATTCGGCCCCGTCCTTAATTGTTCATCGAGCCTACAGCTCTGGGCCCCTGTGGGATCGAACTTTGTCGGGACAGTTAGGGGCGTGTACACTACTATTCTTACCGCTTTGTTAATTGTGCTATATTTTGATAGGATTTCTTGAATGATAAAATCAGGTTGATGTTGTGCTACTAAAATTGTTTTTGATAACTTTAATTCTTTTTTGTTGTATAAGCGATCTTATGCCCTTGGTCATTAAATGTTGATAGCCAAGTCGGGCCCAGCCACCACAAGGTCTGGGCTTTGAGTTGTGATGCAGTTAGACCATGACTAGCACAGTCGGCTGGGTTTTCTTCCGATTTAACGTACCTCCAACAGTCAGGTGGCATATTTTCGGTTATTGTACGAACTCTATTTGCCACAAACTTTTCTATCTGGTTGGTTCTCCGTTGAGCCACCCCAGTACTACCATGGAGTCAGTCCAACCATATATTTTGATATTGTACCCACTGGGGCACTTTTGGACTTTACCCATTAGCTTTGATAGGAGTTGTGCTCCGCTCAGTTCCAACCGCGGTAACGAGACTGTCTTGCTGGTTGCTACAAGCCTGGCTC